GGGGGGGGGGAGGTGGATGGGGGCTGCTCAAGGTAGAGGCACTTTTCTGCACCAGCCCCAGTATCTCCTGCTGCAGGATCCCTACCCGGAAGACCCATATCTCCACCCCAGGAAGCCCCTGCCTTCTGGACTGTGGCTTTGAGCACAGGAAAGCGAGCTGGGAAGTCTCCTGGGTTCTCATCTGCCAGCTGCCTGGGGTGGGCCTCAAATGACCACAATCCCTCTCAGCAGATCAGGAGAAAGGTGGCCTGGCCTAGACCATCTCTCTGCCTTGAGCCAGAATATTCAGCAGATCAGAGAGCTTCCAAGTTGGGCAAGAAGGGCTCGTGCCCAAGGCCATTCGATCATAGGCTGTGTCCTTACTCAGAGACCCCAGCTAAGGTCGTCATTCTGAAAAGCCCAGTCTAGATCTCCAACACTTCCAGAATGCGATCTCTGACTCCCCAGCTGAAGAGCTCAATGCCACCTAGGCTGGAAACAGTTGTACCAGAATACCACCTTAAGGAGAACCTGGGAAAGTTAACAACAGGGCTCTCCCAAGCCCCCCAGGCAGAGGTTAGGTGGCCACTTGCAGCCCATCTCAGGGTCAAGTGGAGCCTGCTCAGATCAGCTTCAAGTCAGAACCAGGGCTCTATCCTACAGCGGGGCCATGCCTGCTCCCTGTCTTTGCCACTGGCTGTGACACTGGCTGCCTGCAGCCCCGCTGCCAGGTCCCCAGGCCTCCTCCGCTTGCCTCACTCGGCAGGTAACGCCTCAGTGTCTCCCAATCCCCACAGAGACCCTACTCAATCATCCTGGCTCCCAAGGAACAAACGGCACATTGGCTTTAGTGTCTCCAGAATAATTAGGTGAATTTTAATAACACCCCAATGTGTGTCTCTCCCACTTGGGCATCTCCTGGCCTGGAAACCCTTCTGCAGTGCCAGGCGCCCTCTGTAGCCTGCAACTCTGCGGCCTAGAGCTTCATCCACTGGCCTTCCCTGGACCGCACCTCAGCCTTCTACTCAAGCTGCCTGAGCTGCCCCTAACCCAAGGGGGCTCCTAAGCATGGTGACTTCTCCCCTTGCACTGGACTGTGAGTCAGTCCTGACCCTCCCTGGCCTTGAAATCAAGCCTTGGTCTCAGTGGCTTCTCTGGGGAAGTAGGAGAAAGACTGGAATCATTGTGCTCATCTATGACTCCACAGAGTCGGGTGCCATGCCCTAAAGCCCCAAACCACGGCCACACATGCTACCTGGAGGGAGAGGAAAGCAGGTCCTCCAGGATCCTGGAGGACACAGGAGTATGGAGGCTGGACCCTGGGCACCTGTGGATGCTCGCCAGCCTGGCCTATTTGCCTTCTGCATTCTAGTGCACGCGTCATAACACAAGACTCATAATTCTGGGCACCTTGCGGGAGGCAAAAGAAAAAAAGAGGCAAAGGCAAAGGCAGAGGCAAGAGTGTGGGCAGGAGGAGCCAGCAGCAGCCCCTCCCAGCCTCCGCCTTTCTGGGCTGAAGCCCACAGACCCCCTGACCAGAGTTTTTTCTCCTCACATCTGCACTCATCTGTTCAGGAAGCAGCCTGGTGTTTGGAGGCTCACTTTATCGGCAGATATCATGGTAGGGGGCCTGCTTGTCACACTGGGCCCCAGATGGAATGGGCAGAGGTGCCCCCACTGAAAGCGGTGCCCCCCCTCCCGGACGCCCCCTTACCGGTCACAACAGGGTATGTCTGTGTGCCTGACACGTTGCTGCCCAGCTCGGGGTTGGTGGATGCAGATAGACTTGACTTGACTTCATCAAGCCCAGGGGTCAGGGCTGGGAGGGAGTACTCGTTCCCCTGGGAGGAGAGAGAAAAGTGACAGCTCTCTATTGATGTGCACACACAGAGAAAGGGCTTGGTGTGCAGATGGGGAGGAGGAACGGGGAGCCCTCCCAGATGGGGTGGAAGGAGATGGCCGGGCAGAGGGAGGGGACTGCAGGAGGGGTGGGCTTGGCATATGATGAAGAGTTTTGTGTGGGTGGGGTAGACCTGACTTGGTGGAGCTGGAGGTGTGGCCTAGACATTTTGGGTGGTTATCCCAGCACCCTTTACATTTCTGTAGTGTCTTCTGCCTAAGAAGTCCCAAGGACAGAGTGTAGCAGTGGGGATCCCCTCGCTGAGCAGCCTGGGGTGTTAAGGCCCCCCTGGGGTGGGGAGCCTTGGGGAGGAGGGGTGAACCATGACATGACAGCAGAGGCAATAGCTGGGGGAAGGGCTGAGTGGGGCCTCTAGCCTGGCACTGCTGGGCTGGCTGATCGGGTGCGGGTGCCCCTTTTTTAAAAACAAACAAAGACAGCCCCATGGGCCCCTCGCTCTCTGCCTGTGCACTGGGGTATGAAATTGGGGAGGGGGAGAGTCCACATGGCTAACAGAAGGATGGGAGGGGGCCAGTCATTGACTCTGAAAGAGCGTCCTGCCCGAAACACTCGGGTAATTGCGTTTTTATTGCAGCCACCGCCAAACCAGACCCCAGAGCTGGGCAGACCAGGAGTCTGCACAAAGCAGGAAAAGTTGCTCTGATTAATATTACGTTAAATTAAAACTGATTTTCTGCTCTTTCGGGTCCGTTTTTTTCCTTTCCGCTTCCTGGCCCCCCCAGAGAGCCCCCTCCCCTCCCTGGCTGGACGGGATTGCCTCGTCATTTCCAATTCCTTCTCGTATTGATCTTCCTGTAGAAATCAGTTTTGTAATTAGCTGCAAATTAGGCCTTCTACTGGGGGTGAAGCTGCCCCCTGATTTATCACCAGAGTAATTCGCTGTGATCGGAGAGAAATTAAAATGAACTCAATTAGGCTTCGGATTTGCTTTATGGGCCCTGCTCCGAGTTTCAGGGGGAAAAATGACTGTGCTGGTGTTTAATAGTCTAATGAAAGTAAATAAAGGTTATTCATTGTAATACAGCCGGGGACTCGGGGAGGGTGCACTGAGCCGCCCGCCTCGGCCGGCTCCTCCTTTGTTGGTTTATGGCTCAGGGCACCTTAAAAAGACTTTTGATTTTTGTTTTATGAAGACAAACAGCTTATGGGATAAAAGGACGGGCGGGATGAGTGGCTGGGAGTTGTTGGAATCTTAGAGTGGAACTGTGCTGAGTGGAGCCTGTGGGGCTGCGCTGGTGTACGTGTGTGTGAATATGTGTCTGTGCGTGTGCAAGCACAGCATGCTGTGTTGTGCTGCAGCTGTGGGCCTGACCTGGCAGGGATGGGAGTGTGCTCCTGTGTTTGAGTGTGTGTGCTGGGGGCTATACTGATGTGCTGCAGGTGTGCAGAGCTGGTGATGGGGGGTGGTGCACCCCTACTGGCTCTATGGGGCTGATGGGGCTGTGCTGTGCACACTGTGGGCTAAGAGGGGTGGGAGGAGCAGGCAGATGGTGGTCGTGTGTAGCACATGCACACTGGTAAACGTGAGGAGTTGGAGATGTGTTTCTGTAGTGTGTGTTTTCTGATGTGATGTGTGTTCTGGTCTGTTCTGTGTCTGCAGGAAATGTTGGGTGTTGGAGTAGACCATCAGCCTGTCTGGGGTCACACTGGGTGGCTAGATTTGGGAGCAGGAGGCAGGAACACATGGGCTCTCCTCCTGAAGCTGCACAAGAGATCCACAGACTTCAAGACTTCCTGTAGTACCTGGGCAAGGGACACAGCAAGAGGACATTCCTGAGTACCCCATGCCAGAACCACAGAATGGCAAAGCTGAAAGGGACTTGACAGACCACACATCCAAGCCCTTCATTCTGTAGATGGGGAAACTGACACTTCAAAAGAGGATAAGATTTATCCCAGACCATCCTCCTGAACCCAGAACTCATCATTTCTAATTGCTATATACTATAATGATGTTTCTTAACTATACCACAATGCCCTCATGTGAGCATGCTCACACAGCACACACCCGATGCACCCACATGTAACACATGCAGTGCTGGGTATGCATGTGGCATTTGTTTGCAAGTTCTCAAGAGGCCACGTTCTCTCCAGTCCTTTCCACTTTCTGCAAGTGGAAAACTTCCTCACCTGTTCTGATTTGATGTGCTCTGATGCCTGAAAGACGTCAGGGTAAGAAGGACGCTCAAAAACCCGATCCAAAGCTTCCAGCTGCTGCTGAGTGAAGGTATCAGCTCGCAAGTGCTTCCGCAAACTGTCCACGCCACTCTGGGAGTCTCCATTGGGGACTGAGCCCTCGGACACATCTGGAGAATACATGATACTCGAGGCATTAGCACCAGGCCAGCAGAGGCACAGGAACAGTGCAGTGAGCAAAGGGGGTGGGTGGTACCTGGCTCTGGCCCCCAGGGCTTTGCACCTCTGCTAGAACCCCTTACTCTCAGCTCCTAGGACACAGGCACTGGCCCAGGAGGTTGGCCCTGCTTCAGAGATCTGGCTGAAGAAGGGAAGTGATCACAGTGTGGACATCAGGAAAGACTGGGCAGAAGTGGAGCCAGAGGAGCTCACAGGGGCCATCTCCCCAGGGCATGGCTCTCCTGGACTCCCTTCTGTCCATCAGCCTGGGTCAGCCTGGGGGAGGAGCTGGGTGTCTCAGACTGGCATTACTGAGCCTGTGGAGAATTGAACTCGGTTCCGAGATGAATTTCAGTTCCACTGATTCCAAGGGTTGAAAATCATCAAATCTTCGAGGCTGAGTGTAACATGAAGACTGGGTCAAGTAATTAACTTTACCACTGAGGGAGGAAGGGCTCTGAGAGCCAAGCCCAGGCACTCTGCTCAGGTCAGGCCAGCACTGAGATGGGAGCAGAAGGAAAGCAGGTTTCACAGGAGCACTAGGGCTCTCCTTGGGCAAAGATGACAGAGGGGCCCTGGTGGCTGCTGTTGTGCCCTGGCCAGCCATCTCAGCTTCTCTGAGATGGCTGGCCATCTCTGGACTGTGGCTCAGGCCTGCGTCAGGAGCCAGCTCCTTGGACACCTGGCTCCTCTTGCAGGTCTCCACAGGGAGCTGAGACTTGCTCCATGAGGGCAGGGCCATGGTGGCGCCACATTAGTGCTTGCTCCCTTGGGGCTGCCGGTCTGTGCTGTCTCTTGTCATGCTCTGCCCAGGCATTCTCCCCACTCTGTGACCCCTGTCTCCTCTGTCCCTGCCACTGGAGTTTCCAGAGTGTATAGTGGGAAAAGTGCCCACCCTGCTGCCTCTCCCTGAACCCCACACTGCAACTCCCCTGGCCCAAAGCTGGGTCCCCTCTAGCCTCAGCTTGGCTGCTCCTTGGTTTCTCTTAGTCCGAGACCAGCTTGGGAGCCTTGGGCCTGGGGCCAGCCCATGCTGTAGGCCCCAGGGTGTTCCTCTGGGACTGTTATATATATCAGTTTATAGGTGATTATATGATATGATATAATCAATATTGCATTATATACAGTAACGCCGTACAGTATCATTCAGGAGACCATAGAAAATATCACATATTGATTAACCTCAACCTGCAGCCGTCTTCCCTCACTGGCCTCCCAGATGGAGCATGGGGGGTCTGTTTTCCTAAAGGGACATCCCATCTTCCTTCCACACTCTATTCTGGAGGGGGTGGGAAAGCAAAGAAAGTGTGTGTGTGTGAGGTGTGTGTGTGTGTGTGTGTGTGTATGAGAGAGAGAGAGAGAGAGAGAAATCAAGACCAGGGTCAAGTCTGAGGCAGGCAGACAGAGGCAGCCTCAATGGTATTCCTATGTTCCTATGGACACAAAACTTGGTGGTTGTTTCTTTTTCTGTGTAAGTGTAAGGCCCTGGAATGATTTTCAGTCTTAGAGGTTGTAGGCATCCCTGCATGTGAGTTGGAGTGTGACATATTTATTTTTCCCTTTTGTGTGTGTATCTCTGTGTATATGCATTTGTACATATATAAACATCCAGATAAATAATGCTCTCTGTGTGTTTAAATGACAGAGGAAGAAGCTTTCTGAAAGGATGCGTGTGTTTGTGCATGATTGCATGGGGAGTGTGAGCCCGTGTCCCCCATTTCTCCTGTGTCTGCTTCTTTTTCCAGGGTGTGCCCTCACTCTATTTTCACTCTCTGTAGCTATTTGCATGTTCCGCTGTGTCTAATTCTCTTCCTGGAGTTCTCCTACCTTTTGGGGAAGCCCTGCTCTCAGGGTTGAGGCATCGAGTGACTTTGTGTATGGTTATTGCAGTGTCACCGGTGGGTCTGGGGAGTAAAATGTGTATTTGTCTGTGAGCATGTGTTCACATATGATGTGGATGGGTGTGGGCATGTGTATGTGTGGCTGGACTCACATTATGCCTCTGTGTAGATTTGTATATATGCCTGTGTGTGGCTTGGCTCACCCCATGCCTCTGTTTGTACATGCGTGCGTGCGTGCGTGTGTGTGTGTGTGTGTGTGTGTGTAGGGGCTGATCTGAAGCTTTGTCCTTAGGTCACTGGCTGGAGGAGTCTCTTTGCCTTCATTTATTCAGGGGCCCTTCAGATCTTGACAAATCTGTCACTCTAAATTTGCGAGAGATTATGGTGCTCTCTCCCCAGCCCGCAGAGAGGTGATATATGATATCTGCTGCCCCTATTGATTGCCTGATCTGGTGGCAGAGGCCGGCGAAATGAACTTGAAATGAACATCATGCCTCAACTCATTGTGCGTATAATACACTACTTAATCCCACATTTTTCAGCCGCTATGGAATTCAATTGATCAATCATGTTCCACTGATAGTACTGTTTTAGGGGTTATTGCTGCTCCCTCCACTCCCTGACCTTTTTATTTATTTATTTTTTTCTTATACTCAGGCACCGGTGGTAAGACAGGTTACAGAGGCAGCAATGGAGAGAAAGGGGGATGGCGGGGAGGAAAAGGCAAAAGGAAGCCTGCTACTGGCAGAGGTGGCAGCGGGAGGGGGGACCCAGGAAGAAGGGGAGGGGAGGAGGAAAGAGCTAGAGGAGCAGGAAAACAAAGTAGTGTGAGGAAAGCACACAGAGAACCCCGAGAGAGGCTGGAGGAGGCTCCAGGAAACCCCAAAGGAGAAGGAAGGCAGCAGTCATGACGAATGGAGAAGAAGCACAAAGAAAGTTATGGGGAAACAGGGAGGCGAGGCACAGGGGCAGGGACAGGGACAGGGAGGCAGCCCCCCAAAACCACCACAATTCCATAGGCTCTTACACGCTCTCTCCAGAGGAGGGGTGTCCTTCCCTCAGCTACAGAAGGAAGGGAGGAATGGAGGCGAGAAGAGAGCATGGGCAGGGAGGGAGGGCAGAACAGCTGGCTCTGCTTTTGCAGAGGCTGAAGCTGGGGTGTTCAGCTCTGGAGGGCAGCCCAGGGCCTGGATGGGGAGGGACTGAAGGGAAGAGGAGGAGAAAAAGTAGAAGAGAGTAGAGGAGGGGGAGCAGTAAAGAAAACAAGGAAGAAGGGAATAGAAAAGGAAGAGAAAAGAAAGCAGTTGTCAGTGCTGACCATGTGAATGGGCCTCCTAGGACAATGGAGAGAGAGCTCAGGGTAGGACTTCCCATGGGCAGAGTCTCAGAGGCAATGGAGAGGGAAGAGACCACTGCTAGCCCTGATGTTGAAGGGCTCTCTGGCAGAGCTGAGCTATAACAGCGGTGAAAGCAGAAGCGGATCTTGATTTAGGTTTCAGAGTGAGCAGGGAAGGAAAGTGTGTGAGTAATTACATACTATCCATCCCAAAGAAGATTCCCTATTCACAGCCCCCTTGTGCCAAGGACTCAGACTATGAGCTCCTTGTGGGCAGGGACCGTGACTGATGCATTTCTGTAGCTCCAGAGCTAGGCATGGCACATAGTAGGCACAGTAAATGATTGAACAAATGAATGAGGCTCTGCTGGGTGACATTCAAGGCCAGACCCTTGGCAGAATATCTCAGGACAGACCACCTGACTGGCCTGGCACCCCAGGACACCCAGCCACTTGTCAGGCAAGTCGCACACATGACTGGCCCTCAGAGGATAGGGAAGGCCCTGCAGCAGGTCCCTGGCAAACTTGTGCCCTTTCCTCACTCAGAGGGGTCTGCTTGTTAGCCTCTATCAGCATCAACTCTGGGCCTCGGGAGGCCCTTCCCACTCTCAGCAGCTACCCAGCAAACAGAGAAAACTATGTTCCCAGGTAAGGGCAGAACTTAACCTTGGCACTGCAGAGCTGCCATCTGAAGCAGGTGGAAGAAGCTGCTTCAGAACAGGGCCCAGAGAAGGCCTATACATTTGGACTCCCTGCACCATGAGGCTGGAGTATGGTGGCCATATGTCCTGGGCTTTCTGGAACAATTCTGATTTCCAATCTTCTTTCCCACTCCCAGGTCATGTTTTTAGATTGGTTGCTGTAAGTTTAGTAAGACCCCACAGAGCGAGGAAGGGACCATGTGCTAGTCAAACAGTCTCCATATATGAAGGATTCAGCCCTGTTCTCCTTCTGTTCCCTGCCCAGCTACCATTCAGTAGCAGCTTACAGGTATTAAGAGCTTATTACATGCCATTGCTGTACTTCTCAGAGTTCGTTTAATCCTTTCAACAGACCTGTGAAGCATTATGATACCCATTATGATACCCATATGATACTCACGGTAAGCATTATGATACCCATTTTAAAGATAAGGAAACTGAGGCAAAGAGAGGTTAAGTAGCTTGCCAAAGGCCATGCAGTTAGTAAATGACAGCCAGGACTTGAATCCAGGTCTGTCTGACTCCAGAGCCTGCCTTCTAAACCATTCCACTCTGCTGCCTGGGGCCACACCCAGGGGGCCCAGCTGAGGGCACTTGGCCCCACCCAGGGCATGGCCTCCCTCACAATGTCTGTAACTCTCTGCCTTCCACTCTCCTATACTGAGGCTACAGTCTGTGGCACATGTGCTGACTGTGCCCAGAAGTCTGGTCCAAATTCCTCACGTTACTGTAAAGAAAACTATCCGGGGTCGGTGGTGAGGTGGGCAGGTGACCTGTCCCAGGTCACACCACTAGTAGAACTCTCAGGACCAGAGCCCATTCCAGATGCTCTGTCCACTACGGCATGAGCACGCTCAGGGACAGTGTGCTACCACATGTCCTTTCTGGAACACGGACAGGATGTAAATAAATCAATTAAATTAAACAAACTGCTGAGTTAAAACTTTGACGTATAATATTCTTTCAAGAGGAACAAAGCTTGTATTGTCTTCTCTTTCCACCACTTCATATTTGCTTAGCATTTAACAAAAAAGTCTTCATAGACTTAAGTTATCTGGGTTTCCCAACCATTC